GCCCAAGATGCCTGACCTTTTAATATTTTCACAAATATATTCCAACAGAAAGATACCTTGTTAGTAAAAACAAATTAGGGAAATTTACAGACAGTAAAGAAGAAAATGATCAAGATGGCGGGGGGGAGAATGATGTATTTTCAACATTCACTTCATTCTGTTCAAAGTCTAAGAAATCCAAGTTGTAATAAACAAGACCTAAATTGAACACTATTCAGTTTTGTTTCCCTTTCTCATACTCATTTTTTCTCAAAGAAAAATAGGCATATTCATAAAATTACTAGACAAGTTAATTCCATTTTAATCATTTCAAAAGAATTTAACTTCTGAAAAAATGTCACACTTGGAAAGCAGTTTCTAAAACTTCTAGTTATTCATGTTGTAGTTAGAATTCAACTTACATAGCTGAGAAATAAATCAGAGTAAGAATATTAAGTCCAGCCTGGAGTTCAGGTTCTTTGCTTAATAATTATCTAATAACATCTTTTCACAGGCCATTTAAATAGTTAATCTTCATTTCACAGTCCTCTTGTCCCATTACCCCTAGGCAACCAAGATGGAAGCAGTCTAAAACTTAATAAACTTTCCCATATTGCAGTTTGAAAATTGTCACTAAGCTATTTATTTAGGCTCAGGGGTGCAATGCAGAGTAACTATGCTTTGCTATTATTAAGATTTATGTATACCTTTTACTCTTAAACCAAATGTCTTCTCAACAATTATATATACTCATAGTAAATTCACTGGCTGGAAAATCAAAATGTAACAAAAAAATAAATCATTCAGTTCTAACCACTTAAACCTCATGTATTTAAATACTCATTTTTTACTTAAAATGGCAGTAATGTTTCTTTTGTATTAAAATGAAGAGTGGAACATACAAACTCCTCCTCATTTTAAAAGTTGCACTAAAGACAATGTCAAAAATGTTTTTAGGAAGACAGTGTTAAGCTAACTGAACAAATATTTTTCAATGTGTAATCAGAAAAATAAGAGCAATAGAGGAAGAAAGTGTGTGCACTTATTACTGTGGCACAATTTTAAGAAAACAATACCAAAGTATCTGGTAAACTATCAAGTTAAAATCATAATAAGTATGAAAGCACATTTTCACTGTTTTCAAGGCAAATGAACCTTCCTTTGGTTGAAGAAAAAGCTGTTTCTAAGGAAGCCTGACTGAAACATTTAAGAACTAATCAAATGACAACAAAGTCTAAGAGCACAGCAATATCATTCACATTAGACAAGTACTGGAAAACACTCAAGTGTTTTGAAAAAAAGAAATGACATGATCATAACACCTCCACAACTGCAAACTAATAATCATACTTTTGTTCTCTACTAAGATAGTAAATATGAAATTCAAGGAGATAAACCATCCCAATTACTTGCCATGTTGGAACTTTTAAAATAATAGAATGTGAAGAGCTACATGAGAAATCAACCATTCTACATTTCTTTTTTTGTTTGTTTGTTTGTCTGATACCAGGGATTGGGCCCAGGAACACTTAACCACTGAGTCATATCCCCAACCCTTTTTATTAATTTTTTTTTGATTCTGAGACAAGGTCTTGCTAAGTTGCTTCGGACCTCACTAAGTTGCTGAGGCTAGCTTGGAACTTGAGATTCTCTTGCCTCAGTCTCCCAAGGCACTAGAATGATAAGTGTACATGCTCAACCATTCCAAACTTATGATTTTATAATCTCAGAAACCATCTTCCCTGGGTTGGTAGGATAGCCAAAATTCTGACTCATAACACCATATTCTTCCATGTAAATTGATGTTTAGTGTTCAAGTTTCCAACATCATCAAACCTAAGTGTTAGTCAGCTTTGCATCACCGTGACCAAAAATACCTGACAAGAACAACTTAGAGGAGAGAAAATTTATTCGGCTTACAGCTCAGAGGGTTAGTTCATGGCTGGCTTACTCCACTGCTGTGGGCCCAAGGTGAGGAAACACATCATGGTGGAAGCACTGCTACATTCATGGAAGCTAGGAAGCAGGAAGAGAGGAAAGAGGCCCAAGGAAGGTGAAACCTTCAGGACATGCCCCTAGTGGCTTTCCTCCTTTAGCCATGCCTCTATAGTTACCACCCAGTCAGCCCACTCAAACCAGGATGAATTTATTAGGTTACAGCTCTCAGAATCTGATCACTTTACCTTTGAATATATCTGTATTAACACAGGAAATTTGGGGGGATACCTCCTATCCAAACCATAACACTAAGACATTGTTTTTAAACACAGTTCTTCAATAGCAGCAGGGATATAAAAGGTGCTAAAAACCTCAAAAGCACGACCAGCTGTTGTATTGAGAAAAATGGAATATATTAGCCCAAAGCACCAAGAAATAAAGAGTTTTCTTCAAAGAAGGAGCAATTCCCTAACAATGATAAAAACAGGATCCATTTTTTTCCCTTAAGTAATTATAGCTTGGATGGTTTCTATTTAGCCTTTGGGGAACATAAGTTAATACTAACACAAGCTGTCAGCACTTAGTAAGCTCTAAAGTCTCCACTCCATTCAGAAGTTTATCTTTTACAGCACAATCTACTAAGGAAAAAAGGGGAGAAAAGTGCTAGGCTTCAGTTACCATCAATAAAACTATAAAAAGCTTATTTTCATTAAATTTTATACCCATTATAAAGATTTACACACCAATAAAGACTTACCTGAAAATGGATAACCATTCTGGGCAAAACAGGTAACACATGAATTTCAATAAATATCTCTTGAAAAAGTGGAGCCCAACTTGATATACTCCAAAAGATTTTGATGATTATTGGTAACAATTAATAAAAACATTAAGAAGGGGACTGGGGTTGTGGCCAGCAGTAGAGAGCTCGACTAGCATGTGCGAGGACCTGGGTTCGATCCTCAGCACCACATAAGAATAAATAAGTAAATAAAATACAGGTATTGTGTCCAACTATAACTAAAAACTAAAATATTTAAAAAAAAAATTGTAAGGCTTCTTCCCATTACCTCATTTAGCTCTATTTATGCTCAGTGATCATTTGTAGAGTTGCTAATGTGTACAGGTAACTAAAAGCATAAATATGAACCAATACATCGCTTAAGGGTTACTACTTCAATCATGAACACATGGACACATACTTGATACTGATCAAGTAAGTCTCACCTTTTTTCTACTATAAAATTCAGAAGGTAAAAATGAGAAATATCTAACATAATGGTATATTAGAAAACCAGAAGTCTAACTTGAACAAATTCAGATGATTATACTGCATATACTAATGTTTGGAAAATGTCAGTTATAAAAAATAAATTTTGAGCCTTCCATCAAATATAATTAGGGAAAAAAATTAGGAACATATGAACAAAAGTGCAAATAATTTGAAATAATAAATAAAGTGGATAAATTGCATTATATACAGCTTTATATATTTGACTCTTCCCATTACTACTCAAATTTAGAATTTCATACATACTATAAATCATAATGTAGCCTGCAAAAGAAAATTAAAGACCTTCTGTTTCTTCAATATAGTCCATGTTGCTCTACATTTAAGATTTAACCTTAGTAAAATGTCTATTAACTACTCAAGGTTTGTAAAAGTTACAAATATTAGCTCATATAAAAGTTCATTGATAAAATAAACACTTAAAGAGAAAGTATACACAAAAAGCTTATGAACTTTCCTATATGTCATGTAAAATGTAAACAAGATCTAAAGTAAGTAACTGAAGTGAATATTAAATTTTATTTATTTAAACATAGAGAAAGGAGGTTGGCAATAGTATACTCATCAATATACTTATTAGGTTGCAAAACATATCACATTTTCTTAAAACAATAATATACCAAATGGACATCATAACAAAAAAATTTTGTTAAAGAAAAAAGCCAAGCCTAAGCAAGTATTCCTCATAATCATGACTATTGGATTATTTTTAAATGTAAGGAGAAGCAATAGGATGTTAATAGTTGACATCAAAACTTTCTCCAGACATTAGTTATTCTTGCTAATTAAATTCAAAGAAAAAAAAATACATGTAAAAATTAAAAGAAAGTCTTAACAAGATTGGTAAAAAGATTTTTTTTTTTTGGATACCAGGTATTGAACTCAGGGTCAGTCAACCACGGAGCCACATTCCCCAGTCTTATTTTGTATTTTATTTAAAGACAGGGTCTCATTGAGTTGCTTACTGCCTCACTTTTGCTGAGGCTGGCTTTGAACTAAAAATCCTCATGCCTCAGCCTCTAGAGCCCCTGGGATTACAGGCATATGCCACTACGCCAAACTAGTAAAAGGATCTTTAAATAGAATCTAACACAGTGCTTTGTAAAAGGGGATTTACCAAAAAAAAAAAAAAAAAAAAAAAAAAAAAAAAAAATTTACTTTATTAAACAGAACTGAGTCTAATTTTGCACATTAAAACTGTCTTGAAAGAAAAACATGATAACTCAATCCACTTACAAAAAGGATGGATGATGCCCTTTTAAATTAGCTAGCTATATAACAAGTCTTCATTTCCCCAAATCCTAAGTATCACTAATATTTAAAACTTTCATCTTTAAAGCTATGTCACTGGAAACAGTAGGGAGTCATTTAAAATAGCAAAAGAAATCACATTTTCAAATCTGGTAAGAGTTCAGACAAAAGGCCACACAATGTATGATTCCATTTATAGGCAATGTCCAGAATAGGCAAGACGCATGAAAACAGAAAGTAGATTAGCAGTTGTCAGCAGCCACAGGGAGAAGCAAATGAGGAGTGATTGCTAAAGAGTACATGGTTTCTTTTAGGTGATTAAAATGTTCCAAAATTATACAGCAATGATGATTACACAATTCAATGAACTGCACACTTCTCAATAGTGAATTTAATGGTATGTGAATTATATATCAATAAAAATATTACTAAAATGTTTAAATAAAAGCATATAATAATTCATCATAATTCATGATGTCATGATATACTATAACAGACATCATTCAGAGTACTTCACTGTTTCAAAAATCTTTTTTTATACCTTGGCAAGACGGCTCATCTGATCTTCTGAGAGAGTACTGCTTGTTCTGCCAGGAGTTTTTGTGGGTTCCGATCCATCCGCTTCTACATTAGGCCATACTTTCAAGTCATGCATCCCTTGGCGAAACATGCTAGTGAAAAAGATAGCATTCCAGATAGAAGTAAATTAATGCAGTTAATTACAAGAAATTTTACATTCCTAAAAACAAAGAAAATTCTATGCAAAGACATGCATGCCTCTATTGCCAAGCTTTTAAGACCCCCGTGGGTTGGATAGCAATGCAATAAGCAACTAAAATCCATGTAACATTCTTTTCTCCTCCAAGCAATCAGAAGAACTATTACAGAAAAATCTACAGGCAAAGTGGAAGGAGAAAAGGAAGGAAGCATGCATGCTTCATCACTTCAGTGAAGCTCTTAGAAAGAAGAGACCAGATTTCTACCCAAAAGAAAAAATATTACATTGACAATGACTGAAATAAAAATTTGTAAAGCATAGCTGTGTTCTGCCAGTGATAATTTAGCATGCCTGCATGTGAATCCCAGTTATGCCATCTATGACGTGAGTGTCCTTTGATAAGTTAAAATAATAACTTCACAGTAACCTCAGATGTTCTCATGTGTAATATGGGACTGATAAAAATTACTGTATCTCACAGGGTTGTTGTAAAACTTTTAAAAAATCATTATTAGCAAAAAGTATCTAGAATAGCGACTGGCACATAGTAAGTACTCCATAAAGGTTAGCTACTATGATCCTCTTCATTGTACAGGATGATTTTCCTCCTGTCTTCTTTTCCATAAGAGGGGCATTCTTAAGAATTTAGAAAAATAAAAAAGAGGGACATTCTAAAGGAAATACTATAATAAGTTCATGGAAAAAAAAAACTTTCCAATGTTTACAATAAGAAATTTAGTATATAGTCATGATTCAGCTAAGTCTGGTTATCCTGATTTAAAGTGAAAGAACACATGCCCTCTCATCAAGTTTCCTTCAAAAAGCTATTATGAAAACCTAAAGCAAAGGTGCATCAACTCATGAAGAGCTTTAGACAATAATGTGTTTTAATTATGCTACTGTCAAAAGTTTCTAAGTTTGTTTCTCATGAGGGGTTAAAGATGGCCATGAGTTAAGTGTGCTCTCTTTTTATGAGTGTTTTTGATCAAGGTTTTTAAAATATAAAGTCTACTCAAATAGCATCTTCACCAAAACTGAAAAAACAAATTGACAACTCCAAAGGAAAGAAAAAGACTAGGAGTTTGTGTAAGAGAATAGGAAATCTAAAGTATTTTACACAATTTCACATTTAGTAATTTTTTGAATAATAAAATATTCTGATTCTTTTCAGTCTTTAAAAAAATTGTCTACTTAATCCCAGCAGCTTGAGAGGCTGAGGCAGGAGGATCTTGAGTTCAAAGCCAGCTTCATCAACGTGATGATGCCCTAAGCAACTCAGTGGACCCTGTCTCTAAATAAAATACAAAAAAAATGGAATGGGGACATGGCCCAGTGGTTAAGTGCCCAATACCCAGTACAAAAAAAAGTCTACTTAAAAAATCTTACATAATTTTTTACCATTATTATGTTCTGACTAATGATAATGATAGGCTTCACAGAATTTTTAAAATATGTATTATAATATGCATAGTGATGATATCATAAACATTTAGATTGGGAACTATAAAAAAGATAGTCAGGCTTGGTGGCACTTGCCTATAATACCAGAGATTTGGGAGATTGAGGCTGGTGGATCACAAGTTTAAGGCCAGCCTTGGCAACTTAGTGAGACCCTGTCTCAAAATAAAAAATTGAAAATTAAAAGTGGCTGGGGGGATAGTTCAGCAGTAGAGTGCCCCCGGTTTCAATCCCTAGTACTGCAAATAAATAAATAAATAAATAAATAAACTTAAGAAAAAAAAAAAAAAACTACAAGTCTATGATTACAAGAAGATTAATGACCATATCTGTTAAAAAGGTTTCTCAAATTGGCAATAAAATTGCTAGTTCTAAGCAACTATATTTTTTTTACATCTTACCTTAAAGGCCCAATTGAAAATGTACTGCCTGGTTGTGGAGAATCTCCCAATATTTATTTAGGTCAAACATTTAAAAAATTGTTACAAAAAAGTATATACACATGTCTTTATTTATAAAGTTAATCTTCTTTCTCTTTTAACTGAGATAAACATTCAACATAAGCAGATCTTCTTAACAGCAAGCTCTAAGGAACTGGGTACAGCTGAGGTAACAATACACTTTAAATGAATATTCTTAAATATCATCAGAAGTAGCGAATGGCTTCCCTTCCTTTTCCCCATCAGCCAGTGAAAATGTGGTTGGACTGAACTAAATCAAAAACAAGCATATTTGGCAGGAAGTCAGTTTTCTAAATAACTGAGGTGCCTTAAGGACAAGGGATGTAGAAGGTAAGGGTGAAGTCAAGTGACTTAAATATCAAGTGAGCATATTACTTTCTTTTGACATTAATGGAACCTTGTAGAGTTACACAGCCTCCAGGTGGCAAGACAGAAGATTCTCAGAGCATGATGTCCACTTGGGAAATTAAGCCAAATAGACAAGTCAATAGACACAGCACAGCAGGCCCTCTCTCAACTCCAGCACAGGCCCCAGCAACAGCTACTGCTGCTGTTCCAGCCTGGAGTGCCAAGCCACTACAGCACTAACTGCCTTGACTTCAGAATTTACATTTGGAAAAAACATCTGCAAGAGAAATCTGCAGCTTGCTTACTGTTCTTTGCCAATTCAGCCTAATGATCGATCCATTCTTAAGCTACTTAGAAATCTCACAGGCTAGATGTTCAAATTAAGAACAATAAGCTACTGTAGACTTATGCTAAAGAATCAGTCTTTCAATAATTCATTAGACCTCTCCAAGAAGTTCTGGATCACGCTGACTCAAGTATACAAAGCAGATAGTAGCAAATAGCAAGAGTTGGTAGACGCAAGATTAGCAATACCATAACATTATTTTAGATACTTTGAGGACCACTTTTCCAAGCTATTATGTGTGTGCTAAAATCTTTTAAGGAAAAAGGTGAGGGGCAAATAGTGTTATTACACTGCATAAGAAACATCTGAGGAAGTTGTGGTGGTATCATTTTTTTTTTCAGCCATGAGAACAGTGCCGGCACAAGATATGACAGGTGTGTGTGTGTGTGTGTGTGTTAATGGGAATTAAATCCAGGGCACTCTACCACTGAGCTACACCCCCAACACTTATTTGTTATTTTGAGACAGGGTCTTGCTAAATTGCCTAGGTGGGCCTCAAATTTGCACTCCTCTTGTCTCCAGCCTCCAGCATCATGCTCAACCATATTATATGACTTCTGATGAAAGGTTGAGAAAATTAGCCCAGGCTTCCTACTGAGACCACTCAGAAGACTCATGTTATTTTATCTCTCTGGGTGTCAGCTGTGCCATGCAGAGAAGCAGCTGTGGCCCAGCAGGACAAGTAGGTGTCTGTACACTACTGAAGTATTTGAAACATTGAGAAGATCATATTCTTCCACAATTCAAACCTGTACCAGAAGTAATAGGCCTGCCAGGTGACATCTGGTTCTTCTCCACTACAACCACGCTCACCTCCAGAGTAAAGCCCCAGGACACAGGGAAGAAGGAATTGTCTTTCTTATATAGGGTTCCTTAGAATTCCTTCTTCTGAAGGTTAGGTCAATGTAAGTGCCAGCCTAGTGGAGAATTGGAGCTGGTGATCTAGCATTTCTGTACTCCTTCTTTACTGCTCAAGGTATCCAAAAAGACCTAGATTAAAATCTAATGTTATCATTTGAATAACTGACCTACAACCATATATTAATTGGTTGGATTAATAAAGAAAATGTTGACATAAAATCTCATCTTTAGGGTCTGGGGATGTGGCTCAAGCGGTAGTGCGCTCTCCTGGCATGCGTGCGGCCCGGGTTCAATCCTCAGCACCACATACAAACAAAGATGTTGTGTCCGTCGAAAACTAAAAAATAAATATTAAAAAAAAAAAAAATTCATTCTCTCTCTCTCTCTCTCTTTAAAAAAAAAAAATCTCATCTTTACCTCAAATAACTGTGAAATGAATATTCTCTTACATCTGACTAGGCACAAACAGAATCATTCTAATAAAGGAACTACTTCTTTCTTTGCAGGTATTCCATGCATATTTTGCAAATCAAATATATTAACACTATTTTTTTAAGATCAATTTATTTTATTTATTTTTATGTGGTGCTGAGGATCGAACTCAGTCCCTTACGCGCGCTAGGCAAGCACTCTACCACTGAGCCACAGCTCCAGCCCTAACATTATTTTAATATCATTTGTTTTCATTAGGTTTTTTGCTTCAATTTTTAAAATTTAATACCTTAGTTATTCTCATAGTATTTTACTAATACCACATTGCAAGAATATCAAGTTCTCCCTTTAATATAAATGGAAGTAAAAAAAATAAGCTAGGTTAAATAATACTATCAAGTAGAGAAGAGTATACTTAGTACAGAGATTAGACTGACATTCTTAAAGTGATGAGGAAATGGCTCAAGTTTGAGAAACCAGGTCTAAGTAAAATGACTGCACATAATCAATATGGCTCTCTAACACATTTCCCTTGTATCTGAGACCTGGTGTGTTCAGGACACGGAAGAACAGCATGAACTGTTTTTAAGATAGAGTTAAGAGAAAACTGATGGCTTTCCAAGATTCAAAGTCTTATCTTAGTTAATGACACCCTCCCCCCCCCCAAAAAAAAAAAAAAACAATAAATTTAAGTTCCAATTACTGCTACTACCTTTATGAAAATCTTTGGGGTTCAATAACCTTTTTAAGCAAAATAAGTACTACTGATCTGTCATTCAGGCACATTTCCAGCTTGATTTGGATGGGATGTAATGGACATTTTACTTTCCTAAGATATGCATAGAATTACAAATGAAGAGGGAAGGAATAAATGAAAAAAGGAAAAGAACTGTATATATAAGTTGTACAAATAGACTACTAAGACAAAGAATAACAGTGTTTCTCTAAATGTGGTCCACAACCTACCATTTACAGAACGTCTTGGGACCTCAGACTTATTGAACTAGTGAGACTGAAGAAGGCACTTCTCTAGTACTAGCTTTCAAGATGATTCTTATATATAGGTTGACTACTACTGATAAAATGTACTTTTCAAAAACTTGCCAAAAGACAAGTGTAATAGTGTATGTCAACCTGAGAAATCATTTATTTAGCTTCAGGCAGGTCATTTTGTTGCACTTCTGTAACTTAGCCAGAAAATCTCCTTGAAATTAGATCCTAAGTTCATGTAAAATGTACAAAAGTGTTAGAATAGGGGTTTTTATGACAACCCTCCAGCAGACATTCCAGAGGGTAAATCACTTGTAAAGAACCCAGAAAGAAAAAAACTAGAGGTCTGCTATTTCTCAAAAACATTTAGCCACTAAGACTAATAAAATGTTTTACATTTTTTTTCTCTCTGTGGCAAACAAACCCTTCCGAGTAGAGAAAAATAAAAAGGAGTAATCACTCCAGAAAAACAACAACACTAATTTAATAATATGTCCATTTTGCTGTAACATACAATATTATTAAAAATACATTTAAAAACCAGAAGTTGCAATGATTCTAATTATGTTTCAAGTATTATTTCTGTATGGATTTCAATAACAAATATCTCTTTAACAGCTACACTGAACTAAAATACATACCCATTAATAAGCAATCAAGGTATTCTTAATGCAATTACATCTAGAAATTATTCATGAGTTGAAGCCATTCTTACACACCCTATTCCTAGATAGAAAAAAATCAATATTATAAGTACATCAATCCTCTCCTTAATTAACATAAAATTACACTAAGATTTCCAAACAAAATAACAATGAGTTTAATTTTTTAATTGAGAAAATATTAAAATTTACCTGGTAAAACAAATATGGAGAGTATCCAAATATATTTTAAAAGGAAGACTAATGATGACTATCCCTACTTAATATTATATATTTTACAATATCATTACAAAAGTAATGATAACTAATTTTAATGAGCCCATTATAACAACATTTATTAAATAATATTCATATTATGTAACTTAGAATGTAGAAATATATTTATTGGACCCATTAAATCCACTTAGTAATTTAACCATCAAAAACTAAAAAGTAGATATTAGTATTTAAATTTACAAACTGAGACACAGGGTGATTAAATAACTTACCAAAGGATACACAGATATTAGACACAGAAGTTAGAATCTGAAACCAAATAATCTATTTCTACAACTTATTTTTCTTACCACTATACGATATACTATATCTCCCTGCTCTTAAGACTTCAGTGCTCTCTCTTCCATGAACTGAACAGTTTTGTCCCATTCCACCATTCCACATTCCACAATCATGTACTGAACCTCTGAAACCATCTACAATGGGAAGATACAATAATAAGGTCCTCACCACTAGGTGCCATGCCCTTGAACTTCTCAGACTCCAGAATTAGCAAGACCAGTGCCCAAATTCATTTTCAATCTCCTATCCCAAAGGAAGGAGTTGAAGAAAAATGTCCCAAAGAGGTTAAGAAATTGTCAAGGTCCACAGATAAATCCAGACCCAGAGAGGCTCCAGGGTTCCCTATTACACCAAACTACCTTCTACTACATTGAATATTGGCCACCCTCTTCCTACCAGAGCCCAATAAAATATTCTAGGCAACCATTAAAAAAAAAGAAAACTTTGGTACATAATGAACTGAATTTATATATTCAATCAAAAAATAGTTTATGAACTAAAGAGTATTGGGACAAATTATATAAACCATTTCTTTTGATTTTTTTTTATTTTTTAAAAGCTTATTTTTTGCACTAGCTATCATTCCTTTCAGAAACACAATTTTAGATTAATCAGGTTTAAACATGAAGGAATAAAGCAGAGCAGAAGACAGACAAACAAACACAAACCTTAACTGGGAAAGGACTTTCTAAAACATGAAATTCACACATTGAAAAGAAAACTAACCTGATAAATTCAACATAGGAATTTAAGATTCATAAATAGCAATCAAACACAGAATAATTCAAAAGAATAAACCTAAGGGACAAAAACAGTAATTTACAATATAACACACAAATGACTAATTTCATGCATCTACAATGGTTCTTATACCAACACAAAAACGACAACAAAAAAAAATTCAAAGATTTTTATGGTATGTGAATTATCTCTATTGAAAATGGGCAAAGGGATAAAAAGCAACTTACATAAAACAGTCAAAACCATCATAATATGATTGTCCCCATTTGTATTTACTGATGTACAAAATAAGAAAATGGAAAACTTTAAAATGAGTAAAAATGAAGACATCTGATAAAATAGACAATTAAAGTCTACAGCATTTTGCCCTGAAAGGAATCAAAACTTCTTTCAGTTTCCAGGTCTAGAACAGAAAATCACTCAATGAGTCTGGACTAGTCTATCTATCGAAAAACAAAGAAGCTACTAATGACCACTACTATACTACTGAAAGGACATGGGGGCTACTTGAACAGGTTACTGCCGACCAACTGAACACTTTAAACACTATAAAGAAAGCAATGGACTAAACCAATATCCAAAATGTTTAAGATGAAAAAAGTTCATGACAAACACAAAAAGCCATCATCATCACTTTTCAGGTTACAAGGGTAAAGCCAGGCATGGTGACACACACCTATAATCCCAGGGATCTGGAGGCTAAGGTCAGAGGATCCCAAGTTCAAAGCCAGCCTCAGCAAGTTAGCCAGGCCCTAAACAATTTAGCAAGACTCTGTTTCAAAATAAAAAATAACAAGTTCTGAAGATGTAGCTCAGCAGTAGAGCATCTCTGGGTACAATATCTAGGTTCCCCACCCCCACCCCCGCCATGTCACTCACCATAAAAAGGTTACTAGGGTACCAACTCATTATTCTTAAAACTTGTAAATGAGAAAGTAAGTTCAACCATTTGTCTACATCTTCTATATGAACCATATACCTATGTAACTAAATATGGGATGATGAACAAAGTTCTTGAGAAAAATTCCAACCTATAAAATGCAAAAAAAAAAACCAAAACAGAATGATACCAATTAAAAAAAAAAAAAAAAGAAAGGAAAGTGAACTATCCAAGGGAAAAAGGGATAAAGAGCTGGGGTGTAGTTCAGTGGTAGAGCACTTGCCTAGCATGTGTGAAGTCCTGGGTTTAATCCCCAGTACTGCGGGGGGTGGGGGCTGTTCATTAGAACACACTTGTAATTCCAGTGGCTCAGGAGGCTGAGGTAGGACAAAGAGACAGAGGCTAGACTCAGCAACTTAGCAAGACCCTATCTCAAAAAATAAAATGGTCTGTGGTTAAATGCCACTGGGTTCAATCCCTGGTACCAGATTTAAAAAAAAACAGAGACTTTTAAGATTATGAGTTGTTGTTGCTGTTGTTTAACAATAAACTATTACTTATATTGGCTATAAGTTTTTAAAAAATTTATCAACTTTTCTGTTACAATCATTACCATCCATAGAAAATTAATACTTAAAACTTTAAAAGCCTTTATGTCTTCTTGTCATAATTATTACAAAACAGGAAAACTCTATAACAAAGAAGTCATAGTAAATGCCAAGTAAATGCCCAAATGCAAAGTTTTATTTCCCAATAACTTCTATTTTCTATTAGAAATCACATAACCAGCCAGGGGCAGAGGCATACACCTATAATTCCAGCACCTTAGGAAGCTAAGGCAAGACGACAGCAAGCTCAAAGCTAACCTCAGCAATTCAGTGAGGCCCTATGAAACTTGGCAAGACTCTGTTTTGAAATAAACAATAATAAGGGCTGTAGATGTGGCTCAGTGGCTATGCTTGAGTTTAATTCTCGGTCCCAGAAAAAAAAATAATAATCACATTACCAGTAGCTAACAGTAGAATAATATAAATGGTTTCCAATTAACCTTTCTGTATATCATATAGGAAACACATATGAAATTCTGTATCAAGGAAGATGAAATCCTATGTACCTGATTTTCACACAGGGAAGCATTTGGCATAAATAATTTAAACCCTCCAGAAAAGAAATGAGACAGAGAGCTAAAATATTTCTATAGATTAATTAAATAGAATACTTACCCATATTTTCCAAAGAGTGAAACAGTTGTTCCTCCTACAGGCACTGCTTTCCCTGGTCCATACACATCCCATATGGTCAGGGCCACTTGGGCATTCCTGGGCAGGTCAGGGTATTTCACAGGCAGTTTGAGCCATTCATTCCAGCTATAGAAATAATGTTGTCATAAATACATACATACATACATACATACACACACATACACAAATCTGTATATTTACAAACCATACAAATTTATGAACCATACAAGAAGCTTTGTACAGAGAAAAGGTTCCAAAAACTAGGTCAGTACTCTAGAAGATAAAGAGGCAGTCACCTCAATTACTTCAAAACTACAAGACATTTTTTTTAAATATAGATAATGATAAATAATACTGCTAAATGCATTAATCACAAAACTCAGAGGCTGGGGAGGTAGCTCAGTAGTACAGCACTTGTCTAGTATGTATAAAGCTCTGGGTTCAATTCCCAGTACCATAAAAGAAAACTAAGACAACACTACTAAAGTACAAAGAAAATGTTTTTAAAAGGTACAGGAAAACTTTTCAACATGTTAGAACTTTTTTCAACTGAAATTTTCTTTAACCAGTCTCTAGAACAGATTTTTACATTATGAAGATAAAATAATCAAAAGTACTCATATCCAAAGCAGTCCTGAATATAATAAAGCAACCAAAACAACCAAACCACATTCACAGTGCAGCATCCACTACCTTTATAAAATGAAAAATTACAAGTTTGTTTTACAGATATGTAAAGTCTTACACAAGGTTTTTTTGTTGTTGTTGTTCAAGTTATTTCATTAATACCAATACCACTTAGAAATTAGTGCTTTATGCTTTCAAAGCATGTCTGTACATATTATCTCACAAAGAAATGTTTGTTCTTAATACATAACAACAGTTCTTTTTTCTTATTCATTTTTGTAAACTTTCTCCTGCATTTAAAATGGATTCATAATTTCTACTCCCTTAAGCAGCAGATAGCTTTTAAAATCTGGAAAGAATACTATACAAATTATGAAAAAAAAATACTCAGAAGACACACAAAAGTCTATTTCTCTGTTTACTCAAAATTATCCTCAAAGGAGCTTATCTTAGTTTAGGTCAAAAACATTTGATTGGGTAAAAAAGGAACAGAATTTGCAAAAGCTTAAGGAACACATCACTGTCATGCACCATATAAATGTAAGAACCTCCAAGAAAGTTGGAGATAACCATCAATTTCAAGAAGAAGCAAAAAATTATTAAAATCATTTTCTTCAATAACGTTCTGGAAAAAAATAAACTGCATGCTTAAGAAAGCCATTATCTCTATAGATACACTTGAATAAATTAATGTAATTACCACCTACATGGTAGAATAGGCTAAAAAGGAAAATATTAAACAGGACCACCTTTTGCCAATAACCAAGAAGTTAACAAACTCTGGCTAAAACTAAAGAAAGCTGAACATAGTGGTCCAGTCTGTAATCCCAGTAACTAGCAACTTAGGAGACTGAGGAAGGAGAATTACAAGTTTAAGACCAGACTCAGCAACCAAGGGAAACCCATCTCAAAAATAAAAAATAGAAAGGCCTGGGGATGTAGCTCAATGGTGAAGCATCCCTGGATTCAATCACCAGAATGAGTAAAAGAAAGAAATTAAAAAGAAAAACCAGTGAATATTCAAAATGAACTATGAAATGTCTCACCTCTATGACTGACATTTAATTTCTAGAAGACAATACCTAAGACCAAATGATCATTCATCTCAAACTTTGGCTATTTTCCTGGCCCCCAAAATCTCTATAAATCAAAGTAACTGCACTTTAATCTGTTTGACATATTTAGTTTCTGCACAATAGTACTTTTGAATAAAATGGGCCTATAGTTGAAAAGTTTGAAAACTGCTCTAAATATTCTACAAAGTATGAAAAGATCTAGTCAGACACCAAAAAGCTATTCTAAACATCATTTTGTTCTTTCTTTCCCATGTCATTCCTTTCTTAATTCTTAATCCTTCTCAACATCATAAAACCTAAATCTGGATGTTGCAATCCTCATAGTGGACCTTCACACCACTGTGTCACTCTCTAGTCTGATTAATAAATTTCTAAACCTAATTTGGTACTTTTTAAATTAAATTAGGTTGTTATTATATGTCTCCCTAAAGCCACTGAAAGTCTTATATGGGACAAGGTAGAATATAAATATTTTTAAAAATTTAAAACACCTGATTACAGAATAATACACAAAAAAATTAGCTTGCAATTTATAGATAAAAGTGAGAATCTACCTTAAGTATAATTAAAGAAAGAACAGGTTTCCTTCTCTATGGGATCTCTTATCATCTGGGATCTCATATTACCTCAAAATATTATATGAACTATGGAAATGCAAAAGTTCAGATGGCAAAATATCCTTTTATGGCCTATTTTTTTTCATACAATATTTCTTTTATAAAAGTTTGTATAAAGAATGATAGCTAGGCAAAGTTTTTGCCTCCATTCACTTTAACAGGGCAATTCTTTTTGATATTGGTAATAAACTCAATTTTGAAATATTAATGAGCAGTTTATATAAAATCTGCAATGTTTTCCCTTAATCTCCAAGTTTTTTAAAAGCCTATCTTCACGTTATGTACCCAATATAAAGTAATTTTCTCAATCTATTTTCTGTACAGTTATCTTATATCTTTTAATTTCAAAAGGCCATTTATGATTCATCTCAGACATCTTATTTTACTAAGTAATTTCACTATTTAAAAAAAATATAAGTTAAGATGGGCTGGGGTTCTGGATCAGTGGGACAGCACTCGCCTTGTAAGTGTGAGGCACTGGGTTTGATTGTCAGCACCACATAAAAATAAATAAAATAAAGGTACTGTGTCCATCTACAACTAAAACAAAACAAAACAAAACAAATATATATATATATATATATATATATATATATATATATACACATATTTTTTTTTCATACATACATACACCATTTATGCAACTACTGTTTCAATAAACGTTTAATGTAGTAGGCATGGAAGCCCAGAAGTGGAAGACAAACATATAAAACAAAAATAAAGATACTGTGTCCATAAAAAAAAATGTTAAAAATAAAAATGGGATTCATCATAGTTGTTGAACTTCTAGATATAAATTCATTCTACATTAAGGAATTGTGGTTCATTGTTCTACGTGTAATGATGGTACTGTAGTAATATTTTTAAAAAGATGTAAGCCAGGAGCAGTGGTGCATGTCTATCGTTCCCAACAACTTGAGAGGCCAAAACAGAAGGATGGCAAGTTCAAGGCCAGCCTCAGCAACTTAGTGAAGCTCTACGCAACTTAGCAAGACCATGTCTCAAAATAAAAAATAAAAAGGAACTGGAGATGTGGCTGAGTGATTAAGCACCTCTGGGTTCAATTCCCAGTTTAAAAAAAAAAAAAAAGGTAGGATGATGTTTGGAATTTCTGTCAAAATAATGATAGAAATACAAGATTTGTTAGGAGTTAGGAATTAGTAATTTGATGATGGGGGACTTAGAAATTCATTGTAGTATTCTCTACTTTTGAAAAACAGTTGAAATTCTCCAGAATAAAAAGTATTAAATACACATAATATTTATATACCTACACACACACACAACCTACTTATCTGAAACAACCAGAATATATAATAAAAATCTTATCTAAACCGATGATTAATAGACTTCCTTCTAAGATCTGACCTCCAAACAGCAAGCTGAATAGTTCAGACTACCTAGAAATGTTTATGTGTTCAAGGGAGCAGAACGATGAAGAGAATTTAAAGACACTACAGATATGTTCTCGGTTTGGTTCATGTTAAAATTTAATGCAGTGCTCCTCAAAAGTGTCAATATATTTAATACAAAAATAAATTCACTCACACTTCAGTTGCAATTATAATACTTAACATATATTTTTCTGGGTATATTACTGACTTAAACTTTCTAATCAATGTATCTATATATACAATTAAGAAATCCCTGCACTAGGTGTAGTGGCACACACCTCAAATCCCAGCTCTTCAGGAGACTGAGGCAGCCAAAGTGCAAGTTTCAGGCCAGCCTCAGCAACTTAGCAAAATCCTGAGCCCAAAAAAAAAAAAAGTAAAAAGAGCTGAGAATGGGGAGGTTGGGGTTGTGGCTCAGTGGTGGAGCGCTTGCCTCGCACATGTGAGGCACTGGGTTCGATCCTCAGCACCACATAAAATAAAGGTACTTATTGTGTCCATCTACAACTAAAAAAAAAAAAATGTATAAAAAAAAAAAAAAAGACTGAGAATGTAGCTCAGTTCAATTCTCAGTACTGGGAGGGTGGGGAAGGAAGCTCTGTAATTCCTATTAAATTGTTCCCACTTGCATCATGCATCACCTAGAAAGGAAGGAGACAACAGTCTGTAATCTACCCTATGCCAAAACAAACAAAAGAAAAATAAAAACACAACTTACTTCCATCTTGTACTAAATGCCTTGTAAGATGTTCTCACTGGCAAGGCCAGAGGCTTCCCTTCTGCAAAAACTTGACAAGTAACATAAAGATCAGAGCATGTCTCCTGGTATAGCCCCGAAAATTTTAACATCGGATCTTCTAGGACAGCTTTATAACTCTTTTGTTCTCTCTTCCCTTCCAAGCTTCCTCTGAAAACACACAAACAAAAATGTTTTTGACATATATTTTTCAAGCATATATACAAATGCACAAGAAATACTAAGAAAAGCTTATGCCTGTCAAAGTAATCTTATACTACTAATAAACATTTTCGTGGTTTATACATTAAAGATACTGTAACATATAATAAGGTTTTCTGAAAATCATAATATGTCCAAGATTATTCTATCTTCATTAACATATTTCTCAATTTAGGCTTTTTCATCTCAAACCCTGAAACCAACTCTTGCCTTAGTTTCATTTTATTCAAGTTGACCACTTATGCAACTACTCTTTCAATAAACGTTTAATGTAGTAGGCACAGAAGCCCAAAATAAACAATATAGTGTTATAAGAAAATGTTATGCCATTGCTTCTAGGATAAAAACTTATTTTTACTGGATATTCTCTTTTATATTTTATTTTTTATGATACTTATTATCTGATCATTTCTTAAAATTAAAATATATAGTGTTATAAGTCATAAAAGATATGCACAGGATATTACTAAATAGAAAGAAGCATTTCTTAGACATCAAGATTATATCAGATACTGTCCAAGCATTTTACATAATCTTTCTTAATTATTTTCACCCATATTCTTATTTTGTAAATGAGGAAACTGAGACTGTGATATCAAACATATTGTCTAAGGTAACAAGGTAAGCAACAGAACTGAGAACAAAAAGTAGGGCAAGGAGGCCAAAGCCAATATTTTTCCCTTCACAGGAAGATAAATAAAGCCTCAAAAATACCTAACCTGGTTTGGGGGCATGGATCTAGGATCTCACATAGATACCTGAAATAAACCTAAACAAAACAGAAGAAAGGGAAGGGAAATAGATAGGAAGTCATTTCAAAGAGAAAGAACAGTATATATAGTTGGTCTCTCATGGGATACCCTGCACCACTTTAGAACTCGACAATGAATCCCAGGAACGCTCTCCCCAGATGAAGTACCTCACTCAGCCTTAGAATTTCCAGTTGGTACAAATGGCAATGGGCAGAGTTTCAACTCTATGAAAAATTTCACATCAAAATACATCTGTGTGGGGCTGGGATTGTGGCTCAGTGGTAAAGCGATTGTCTAGCACGTGCAAGGCCCTGGGTTCAATCCTCAGCATCTCATAAAAATAAACAAAATAAAGGTACTGTGTCCAACTACTTCTAAAAAATAAATATTTTAAAAAATACATCTGCGTGGAAGGGTAATCTCCATTTATTCAACTGTTTCTTATCTCAGTTATAAAATAATCACCTCTAGGAACGCTTTTACCACTACTACCATTGTCATCATTCTAAGGGACCCAGATTTTAGTATGTGCCACTATTTAACCAGAATATTCTTTGTTTTATCAGATGTAAACAACCCTATGATGTTGAACTTTGGTATGTCTTGTATTTGTCCCCTGTGTTACTCCTGTCAGAGAGCACATTATCACATTTAATAAAAATTACCTACTTATTGTTAAAAACAAGAAACAAACAACAACACATACAAAAGCAAATGCAAACAGGCAATATGGTATGTGGCAAGAAATGCCAAATTGTTTAGTACAAAAGATAAAACTGAATGAAATATAGGAGCTAGACAGCAAACAGAAGTAGCCATCAAATTCACAAAATAAACATTTAAGAACTGGTAAGCTAGGTGTGGTGGCTCAAAATAATCCCAGTTACTCAGGAGGCTGAAGCAGGAGAGGATCAAAAGTTGAAAGCCAGCCTCAGCAACTTAGTGAGGTCCCAAACAACTTAATGAGACCTTGTTTCAAAATAAAAATTAAAAAGGGCTGGGGATATGCTTCAGTGATTAAGAACCCCTAGGTTCAATCTCTAGTTTAAATTTTTTTTTAAAGAAAAAAAAAAACCTGTTAACTTAAGTGAGAAAATAACATGATCAGACTGTATTTATACTTTTGGCATTAACATAAAAACATACAAACCAGAGGAGCAAGACTGAAATTGAGGAAATTCAGAAGACCTGCTATTAAAATAGAAAGAAAATAAGTATCCTACTACTGGAGCAGTGAGACAGAAAAAGGAGAATCGAACAAAGAAGTTTAGCAGTCAGATTTAAAATATCTTGCTGAATGACACAACAGAAACTGTGAGAAAGGAGTATCATTAATATTCAGTTTTCTGTCTTAACAAATTTCGATCATGCTAACAATCACCAAATAGAAAACACAGGAAGATTATAGCTAAGACAGGTAAGCTAATGATGAACTCAGGTTTGGACAAGTTTTCTTTACAATAATTTTGGATAACTGAAGTAACCATATTCTAAGGGCCCTAAGAAAATGTATTTATCACATGATGCAGCCCTTTGACAAATATGTACCTGATAATACTGATTAAAAATACACAATGTCAGGCATGGTTGCTCACACCTGTAACCCCAGCAGCCCAGGAGGCTGAGGCATGAAAATCAAAAATTTGATTTCCCTCAGCAACTTAGGGAGGCCCTGAGAAATTTAAAAATGTTCAAAATAAAAAATAAAAAAGGCTGGGAATGTAGCTCCCTGGGTTCAATCCCCAGTACCCCCCCAAGAAAAATTGCCCACAATAAATGTTTACTGATTATGAATTATACTGCAATTAATAATCTATAATAGCTTTAACAATAGCTCTACACATCTACCTTTTAAGGACATAATTTCCAACTCTATTCCTTATTATTGTATCAAATCCATTACTTTTATTTCAAGATGTTCTACTCCTGAGGTTAACCGTAAACACAGTACCCCAGGGTTTTTCCTGCAAGATGTTTTCTCATGTATCTTCACGGTCCCTTTGCAACTGGCACTCTCATCTGAGACCTTCTCACAACAACTCTGCCTTAACAACGTCAGATTGCCCAAAGATTCAATCTATGCTTCTATCACTTCTAGTGCTGTAAATATGGCACACATGAGCTCATATTATTGACAACGATCACATTTAACGTGTCTATCTCTTCATAATTTCTGCGGTCTCTATTCTACCCTCCAAGCCTTCTGTTTGTTGGTGTTGCTGTTGCTGTTGCTGTTTTGGGGAGTCTTGGGGATCAAACCCAGGGCCTCATGCACGCAGGGAAACCGTTCTAACATTGGGCCACATCTCCAACCTTAAACCCTACTCTATAAAGATATTCCTCTTGTTTATGGCGGAAAGATGACTTTACACCTTGGATTGTCCATGTGTAAAATGAGAAAGTAATAACTCCTCAAAAAGCTGAAAAGCGAAATGCTTTTAAGACTGAAAACGCTGTGGAAGTTAGAGCTTGTCCCTATCTCTCAATCTATTACAGAAGCCAAGTCCTCAAACCTTCTCCCACACAGTCCCTCACAATCCGCTCTCCTCCACTTCCCTGGCCACAGTCCCCCGGGCTGTCCCCAATCCTGGTCTTCAGAAAGTCACCACCTTCTCTCCGTCCCACGTCTCTTACAGGTCTCTGCCTACCGGTCCCTACACCCTAGCAATCCCACTCCTGTTCCCAGGGTACTCTTACATCTTAAGCTGCACGTTGATGTCTAGGTCACAACTGTAGATGTAATGGAACTTCTCGGCTTCGCCCATGATAACCTCAGTAAAAGCAGAATCTGCAGCGAGAAGCTAGGCACAGGAAAGACGCCAGAATTGAACCACTTGAGCTTCACAACACAGGTGCTTCCGGTTCCGCCCTCCTCTCTCACGCTACCAATCACTGCCAGGAGCGCACACTAACGCGCAGGAACTTCCCTCCCAAACGTTGCCTCTGCGCGTGTGCAAACGTCGCCCGCCATCTTGCTTAAGGGTAAACAGAATGCTGGAAACACAACCTATCTGGTTACATTCCAGTCTTCCTGCCTTCACAAGACTTTTTCCTTTTTTAAAGAGACAGAATCCATTTGAGTCTGCGCAGTACCTAGAAACACTCTAAAGGAAATTTGATTCCAAACAACTTTCATTGATCGTGTATCAAACATGCAACGACCGCAAAAATTAGAACTTTTTTGAAGTTTAAATAACAGTGGCCTTTCCAAAAATGGTAGACTTGACCACTGTTGTCCAATTTCAGGCCAAGATCTTTCTCTTTTCTGTTACAAAGAGTACAGAAAAGATAAAAGAACAAAGAAATGTAGATTTTATTCTTGATACTACTGAGATTTATGCTACTTGGCCAAAGTACTTAAGTTTATTCATATTCAAAATAGGTAGCTTTCAAGACCCAATGCTTGTTAGTACTTAGAAACTTCTAGTACTCCCTCCAGCACACAGATCTCTGAGCTCTGAGTTCCTAGAATGCTTATAGTTATATCTAATATAATATAAAATTGTAATCTTCCTTTCCAATTATATTTAATATTTTGAAAACAAGAATAGTGTGCCATTTATTTTGTCTCCCCCGCTACAGCCTAATATGTATCTGAATTAACAACTCCTACTATTGATTGTTACTGATGACATTGAAAGAAAATTTCCATTTTCAATGTTTATTTTTAAATGCCTCATTTTAAGAAAGACATCATCCAAGTATGTGCAAATTAGGGCAAATAGAATATTGAGGAATGGGAGAAAAAAGAAAGATTAAAAAAAAAAAAACTTTCAGAGATAGGTTGAAAGACAAGGAACTGTTTAACCTGGAAAGGAATGGAAATGGCTAGTGCACAATATTTTGCTTAAAGCAAGTTCTCAAAAATACTTGTTGAAGCCAGAAAATGATGCAAGCTGACAAAAGAAAAATGTGATCGTCTCCTATAACTGAAGGTTATAAAAAAGAACAGATTTGATTTGTTCCTTAGATAACTACATCCAAATTAATAACTTATATAAAATGTAATTCTAACAAAAAATTAAAATTGAAATTTCTAATAATCAGAGGCATATAATAGTAAAACAAATTGTCACAACTGCTCTGCTTTTGAAATAATTTCAGCAATGAGTGTGAGGTCTGATCTAAAACAGGTTTCTAAAACTTCAATAACATCTTGATATTGTGAAAAGAACTAACTTATCTAATTATGGTTGTTACTTAAATTAGTTTCAATATATTGTTACTTAATGTATGAACTCAAATAAAATATAAAGTAATAATCTTAATATAACAGATAACGTCTTTTGGCTGAAAAGCTATTGCTTGCAGTGTGAATATGGCATAAGATTTTGGTTACTCCTACAGGACTGGTTTTTTGAAATTCAGCACATCTATACTCTTCTGTACCAAATGGAAATTCACTTTTCTGGCCTCCTGAAGTCTCCATTAGTATTATCACCAAAAGGTCTTTTGGATTCAACATAGCTACAAAGCATCTTTTTGTTTTAAAAGCCTAACTCTGTCCTTTTCTCATTACTTCATAATGAGTAAATTAATACTAATTGCCCTTCCCCCAAAGAGTTGCAAAAACAATGCAGAAAAAGGCATGAAAATAAAATATCAGTACTTACACTCATTCAGAGAATTCTAGATTGAATTTCTAACTTTCTCAAAATTTATTGTTGAGAAATTCTAGGCAATGTTAATATAATTTGTTACATACTTTAATGCATCAAGATAAGCAAATGCAATAATAAGGAGGAAAGTTTTGCTAAGTCATAGAAGCATGGTAAGAGTCAAGAGAAGCCAAAAATGACAGTGCCTTTCCTGGAACAACCACAGGTCAGGGAGGTGTTAATTGGTAGACTTCAGTTCTATAGTCCAGTTGGCAAATCCATGTTTATAGGAGAAGTGGAAGCTTCAGGCATCTTATTCTGAAAATGAAATGATTTTTTTTCTTCCCATTAATAAATACAACATACACATATAATTATAGACCAGACTTTGTACTGCAAGAAACAACAATGGGCTGTCTGTAGAAAAATAATGTATTGACATCAGTATTCTTTTGTGTATGTAATAGCCTATTTCTTGACTACACAATGCCATACTAAATTTGCCCTTGAAATCACAGTTTTGATTTTGTGCTTCCTTTGTCATTTCGTTTCAAGTTCATGTTTAATTATTCTAATTGCATATTTTAATAATGATTTAGAAATTGGTTGATTGTAGTCCATTCCTTCAATTGTTCAGTGATAATCAGGTTTGTTTTTGCCAGTTTCTATGACCCAATTTATTATTTTTAGTTTGTAACTTTAAAAATGCACTTAGAGCTTTAAAAACAACCATCTGTTATTGAGCTTCCATCAAGAACAAATGAATATGATATTGTAATATAAAAACTATGTTATAAACTTTTTTTATATATAAGTGTGTGTGTGTATATATATATATATATATATATATTTAAGTTGGACACAATATCTTTATTTATTTATTTTTATGTGGTGCTGAGGATCAAACCCAGGAACTCGCATGTCCTAGGCGAGCGCTCTACCCCTGAGCCCAACCCCAGCCCCTATAAATCCTTTTTATTAAAATTTCCCCTATAAGTTTTCTTATAACCCTGAGTATTTTAGAATTCAGCCACATAATAGAAAAGACAATAATGCTAAGAAACTTGACAAATCCTACTTTTATCTTAGACTCTTGGACATTTGTGAAAGGACAATGTGGAAAAGGTAGGTTTAATGCATAACTATGATTCATCCTAGTGCAGAAACCTCCCAGACCTAAGGAGTCTTTTTCAAAAAACCAAAAATACATTTATGTCACTACTAAAGGGAAAGATTTAAAAAATGAGTTATCCTGAAAAAAAAAAAAGTATTTCTTGCATGTGTGTTCCTTGGCTTTTGCCCAATTATATAAAGAAGCTCTGCCTCCCAGCCCCACAAATGAGAAAAGAAAACTTGGAATTAAATAGCAAAACAATCAAGCATGTTATCCTATAAAGAAGCAATAAAATTAGGTCATATTTTTCCCTAGGATGTATGATCAGATTGTGCCAAGGATCATGGTGGTGGATAGAGCTGTAGATGTCTCTTCTTCCTTATGGGAAATGACCCTTGGTATTCAGACCTTGGAAAGGATAGCTGGATAACAGCATAGGAATGATCTTACTGTTATTTATATTATTTTGAGTCAAGATTTAAAAATATTTATGTTGAAAACATTTTGTTCGATTGTGCTTTTATAGCTCTGAATTATTTTAGTCACTGACTTAAAAAGATTGAAGATCTGATAAATAAAAGAGCATTTTCACTGACTGTTGACAAGAATTTCCTTAATTAACTACTAGAGTTAATTCCTATTTCGATGATTTAGTGCTCCACAAACTTTCTTCTGATTATAATTTGCCTTTTTTGTGTATTCTTTCTGGCTCAAGTGTGGCATGTATTTTCTCATTTACCATAAGTCCCCAAATTCCCAGTTGCCTCAAGCAGGATCTGTTTTACCAGTTCACATTTATCCACTGAACACTGTGGGCATTTTAGTTTGGAACTCATGGTTAGATTTACCTCTTTACCTCTATTTTAACAGCACTTAGCTGGTAAAATACCAGCTCTGCAAGTAAAATATAACAGCAGGGCTTCATACCTGTGCCCAGGCAGCATGTCACTAGTGAACAAAGTTCATAACAGGACTATATGGTATAATTATAAATTCCTCATTGAATCAAACCTCTTTCTATATTCTCTATGACCATGCAACAACTATTTTCTCCTATCTTCAATCCTTATATTTTTCTACTTCCTTTCCTTACTCTCTGCACATGATCTTGCCTTCTACTTCTCTGAAAAGGGAAAAGCTATGATATAATGTTGTAGGGCAGGTCGCTCAGCAAACACACAGAAGAGTCTTTATTCCGACTGGCCGGGACTACTTTCTACAGGAGCAAGTTGTCTCTGCAGAAAACATCCTCCAGCTTTAACATTTTGGGGTATTTAAAGGCAAAAACCACATCGGAGGTGAGGTAGCTGCAAGCAAGCAGGGGTACAGAAGCTGAATCCAGCAGTTTTCAGAACAATGCAATGGGTACATTGGTATTTTCCATGGGACCTTCCAGGTTGGCATAGCTGCAAGCAATCAGAAGGGAAGCGGGTCAAAATGACCCTAGTTGAGTACAAGTTAGAGAATGGTTACTAACATCTAGACAATCTGACAGGGTATATTGCTAAAGAAAAAATGGAAACCAAAGAGACAACAATTTTGCATTGTATAAGAATTGTGATTTTGTGTTGCCAAGTATTCTATCCTAGGTAACTATTACTGGGGCTTTCCCATGGGAGAAGCATTTATTACATGCTATGGAGTCTCAGGGTAAAATGGAGTCTGTTTGGTCATTGCCCATATAGCCTGGCCCATAACAATAAGAACTCAAACAACTTCCCCCTGCCAACCACCTCCTTCAAAAAGTTAAACATAGCCATCTGTTTATGCACCAATCTTCTCTTTTTTTTCTCTCTTTTTTTACAATAAAATTGGCATAAATACCTTCAATTAAAGCCATTCCCTCTAACTATGTAACAGGGGTTCACTTGGTGCTTTGGCTATATCTCTTATCGCTATGAAAATTATATGTTTTTATTTTCTTTTTTCCTAACCTTCTTCTTCCTGACCTTCTCCTCCCTGATCTTCTTTTCTTGGATCTTCTCCTTCTGTTGTCTCTTACCTAATCTAATTTTCTCTGAATCACCTCTTCAAGAGCCCCCTGTTCCTACTGATGGGCAGAATCATAGCCTTTGGGACAGGAGTCGCCTGTGTTTCTCCTTTGTTAGCAAAACAATAAAACTTCCTTTTCCTTTTTCTCAAAACC